ACTAGGCTGGAATTCCTGGGCTCGATCGTAGCGCCACCAGTGGCTATGACGAGTTATGTCCTTTCTATGCCTCTCCTATTGACCAATCAGATTCAACCTCTCGTTTCACTTGCATTTGCTTCAAACAAAACGGTGGCGCCCAGTCAAGACGATCTGATTGATAATCAAGATCTATATTGTGATAAAACGAGTCTTACATCGAGAAGTGCATCAAATCACGTGAGCACCTTGATTAAAAGCATGAAAAGATTTAGAAAATATCTGTTGACAACGAGTTAGCGGAGCACATGCTTTGCAAATCCTGCAGTCGACTGAAATCTGCATGACACTTTACGAACCGGAATTCGATTTCGGTGCGCAATTTTGATTGGACTATGCATAGACTCGTTAGTCCAGTCAAAATGTAACTCCATAATCCCAACCTAGTTCGGCAAGGGTGGAAACTGGACTTTTATAGTCAGTTAACTCACTTGCCTCGGGAAGATGTAGTAGAGTACGCAAGGATTTAGTAGTAGAGTACGCAAGGATTTAGTAGTGGAGTAAGGAAGGATTCGGTTGTAGAGTAAGCAAGGATTCAGTTTTTCAGTAAGCAAGGATTCAGTAGTACAGTATGCAAGGATTCAGTAGCAGAGTAAGGCAGGATTCAGTAGTAGAATAAACAAGGATTCAGTGGTGGAGTAAGGAAGGATTCACTAGTAGAGTAAGCAATGATTCAGTGGTACAGTAAGCAAGGATTCATGAGTAGAGTAAACAAGGATACAGTAGTACAGTAAGGGATTCAGTTGTACAGTAGGCAAGGATTCAGTTGTGGAATAAACAAGGAATCAGTTGTAGAGTAAGTGATGATTCAGTGGTACAGAAAGCAAGGATTCATTAGTAGAAGAAACAAGGATTCAGTAGTGGAGTAAGGAAGGATTCAGTAGTAGAATAAACAAGGATTCAGTAGTACAGAAAGCAAGGATTCAGTAGTGGAATAAACAAGGATTCAGTTGTGGAGTAAGCAAGGATTCAGTAGTGGAGTAAGGAAGGATTCAGTAGTAGAGTAAGCAAGGATTCAGTAACTTCTTTAAGTGGCATTTAGAAGTTGGTGTGATGAAGTAAGACAAGTTCTATGGATGAACAACTTCTTTATTACATTTAGTGCGACGTTTCGGTGTAGATCCTAACACCTTTATCAAGCAAGTGATCTTGCTTGATAAAGGTGTTAGGATCTACACCAAAACATGGTACAGTAAGCAAATGTGGCTGTGTGAGTGTATTGTGTTGCCCTGTGTGTGTGGCTGTGTGAGTGTATTGTGTTGCCCTGTGAGTGTGGCTGTGTGAGTGTATTGTTTTGCTCTGTGTGTGTGGCTGTATGAGTGTATTGTGTTGCCCTGTGTGTGTGGCTGTGTGATTGTATTGTGTTGCCCTGTCTGTGTGGCTGTGTGAGTGTATTGTGTTGCCCTGTGTGTGTGTGTGTGTGTGTGTGTGTGTGTGTGTGTGTGTGTGTGTGTGTGTGTGTGTGTGTGTGTGTGTGTGTGTGTGTGTGTGTGTGTGTGTGTGTGTGTGTGTGTGTGTGTGTGTGTGTGTGTGTGTGTGTGTGTGTGTGTGTGAGAGAGAGTACTGTGTTACTCTGTGTGTGTGTGTGTTTGTGTGTGTATGTATGGTGTTGTCCTGTGTGTGTGTGCCCAGGCAGATGTTGTGGCATCCCTTCTGTCCAGATGTGCTTCTCATCAATAGCCCCAGGATTTCTGATATCTACGTGGAGGTGATGACACGTAAACATAAACACACAACACTATCTGCCGAAAATGTCAAACATTTCACTTCATTTACCATCACATACTTAGTGGTTGATCCTTCAATTCTTCCTCATGTGATGGCCCACATCTACAAACAAGAAGCAAATGCTTCTACAAGAAGGAACATGCTGTCTCTATACTTATCACTGATACAACTGACTTTTTGTCATGGATTATGAAATATACATTGCAAATCACTTCAAAGAACACCATTGCTGATGAATATCATCCATCGCATGTGGTGTGCCATCTAGCATGTGTGACTGTCGAGGCACAGATACCGCTGGTCTGAGCACTGGACTGTCTTCTCTTTGTGTCTCCTTGTGGGAGTAGCAGTTTCACTAACCTGTAACAGGAGATGTTTGAACTGAGGCACAAGTTTGCAGCAGTTCACTACAAGTACCGTATTTGCCATATTTAGTGCTCTGGTCTGTACGTATAGGTAATCTGTATAAGGCCCCCCTACTAATGCTGAAAATTTATAGTCCATATTTTCTTGTGTATATGACATATGTTTCGCAGAAAACAGCAGCATAGAAGGGGTATATAATTGCCTAGTAACAATTATTAATAATATTTTAGTTTTATTGATGTTTGAACTAAGTTTTTTCACTTCCGCTTGTGTATGGTTGTAATATGCACCACTTTTTGTCTATTTTCTAAGTTTATTTGTTGCTTACATTGCACTCAGCAATATTCCAGATATATGACATCAGTCTGTAAATAATCAAGTCTGGACCAGACAATCCAGTGATTGACATAATGATCATTGATCTATGCAACAGAGATATGATGACATACATCAACCAAGTCAGAGAGCCTGACAACCCGATCCCGTTAGTCGCCTGTTTTCTAAGTGCCCAAAATGCTTATTAGGCCAGGCTTTTTTTTTTTTTTTAGGATTACAGATTTTTCAGCTCAAAGTCCAGGGTTGGAGGGGGGGGGGGGGGGGGGGAAAGAAGAAAAAAATGTCAGATGCATCTTTTTTATGCAGAATGCCTCTGGCATACTTTATGAACATATTCTGTGCTCAAAAGACCGCCATTTGTGACGATAAAGCCCCTTGTAACAATAAAAATTCTACCACTTCAAACACGGACAATTGTCAAGGGAGGCTATTCATATTCAGCTTCAAGATCAACAGAGATTGATTATGTATCTCATTACTAGTTTACAACGGTAAATTCATATGTTTTTTATTAAAAGGTGATGATAACAAATAAAATAACTGACTACGCGGCTGATATTATTTTTTTTACATTTTCTAAAAAATTCGAGTCGGCGAGTCTGTAATCCCAAAAATATAAAATGCCTGGCCTTATGGCAAATACGGTTCCATCACAAATTCATAATTCACAAACTTATCTTTTCTCAGTTAGGTGAAAAGGTTTTGGCATGTTTAGGTTAAGATTTCAATCCTGACATGAAATGCAGATTCACTTTTGCGTGATTATTAAAGCCAGAAGATGGTTTTTGAGTCAGGTTTTGAGGTACATGTTGAACCTTGAGAGAAAGATGCTGTGTGATGTGTGTGCTGAAGAGTGAGGTTTATAAATCAGAGGAACCAACTCCAAAGAAACTACAGATGTGTTTATTTTTCATCTGGTTCTAGAGGTGGGATTAAATTAGGTTAAATTTCGCATTCAAGATTATTGCACTTACATTCATGCACGTGTGTGTGTGTACGTGTGTGATTTTATAGTGCCAGCCGACTGAGATACCATGCCACTGTTTAACATGGATACCCCACTCACAGTATACTGACTCCGAGCTGACCAGTCCTTGTTTTATACCCCCGCTAAGCGCCAGGCAGGGTAACAAGAAGTACCATCGTTTAACCTCTTTTGGCATGACCTTCTGCTCTCCAGGCAGATGCTCTATCCACTCAGAGATCATAAAATTATTTTATGGTCTCTGATCCACTAGACCACAGAGGCGGAAGGTCGCATTTTGGATTGATTGAAAGATGAAAAAGATACTTACGATATGAAAATTGAGATCTCTCTCCTCACAAATATTTGAAAATTGACTACAATAATTTTTGCGTTTATGGAGGTATCAACTTAAAAAACGTTATGCACAGTGTAAATACGCATAGCGGATTTAGGCACAGTGTGCACACTGTTGAATAAATGACATGAAAATTGGAATTGACCAAGAAATTAAAAATGTTACTAGGCTGAAAACAGTCACCTAAACACTGCTGACTTAATAACCATTCTAGTTTGTTTCATATTTAGCCACTATTAAACATGGGTGTATTCTTTTTTGATCTGCATTTTATCATGGACCTGATGATTAGACTGTATTATGGAGACTCACTACTTGATGACTGGGTACACTTGCACCCGAGCAGTCTACAGTCTACACACAGTAGAGAATAGAATATACAGAGGATCATTTCTTGATTCATTCTCTCGATGTTTGAACAAGCCGTAGTAGGAATGAGCAGCTATCACTTCCTGCTGTGGGGTAGGATATCCAGTCTTTCAACAACGTATAGATGCGTCCCGATGGTGTCTCACGTGATGTCGTGTGTGCCATAAATCACGTGTCTTGAAGGGCGGACACATCAGTGCAGCGGATGGTTCAGATGTGCAACAACCTCACCCCTTGTGTTAGGGCGATTAATTAAAGGGTTAATTAGGCATTTTTTATGGACATTATACTACATCATAAATCCAACTGATATCCGTATATTTTAATGTTGTATTAAGTTTGCAATGCATTGTTATGTGGTCATGTTTCTGTAAATTTCAGAATGGTCTTTTTATCCTATTTCTTAGGAACTCAGAAATTTTATTTTTTCAATGAAAACTTTTCTTTACTTAACTCTTGTCACATTACTATTTAAGAAATGAAACCAAAATAAAAACATATTTATTATCCTCATACATTAGTGTAGGGATTCTCCTTAATTCTGACATTTCAAAATCGATTTCTTTCTCCTTTGAAGTACACACTAAGGGTGAGGAAACTCAGAGAAAATTCTATAAAAGCTTTCGCAGCCAAGTCTTAGCCTGGAGACTACAGTGTTACATGGGAAGCAAGGTCTATCATTGAAGGTAAACCCTCACTGAGACTCCCCAGCATCCTCCAGTCCCGAGATCAGCCCAGTTCACCGACGTACACACAACTAACTTCATTGATGAAAGCGTCAGCGGTGGAGGTAGCGGAGTGGATAGCCTCTCATAGTATTGGGGGAGCTGAGCTTCTGTCTTGAACACTGGCAGCGGTGGTAAGCAGTGAGCCAACCTCTCTCTGGATTGATATGGGAAAACCGTTAGCTTGGCTCCAAAGAGAGGCAATAACAGTGTGCCTATGCAAGTAGAGAGTGTTTACTCGTGTAGCGTGTGTGTAGCAGTCAAACAGATGATTGCTTTGTAGTGCCGTAAGAGCTGTATACAGAAGCGTTATAATTCTCGGGGTTGACCATAACCTGGACAGTCAGGTGACCAAGTGACCATAGTCAGTGAGTTGACAGTCAAGTCAACCGGAGGAATTAATGTTCCCTTGATGGCTCCAGTGACCTCTTGGAGCTGTCTAAGATAATTGGGTGAGTACAAGGGAATGGAGTGGGTAATGAGAGCATGGTCAGGATGAAGGCTGCATGTTTGGCCCGTAACTGTCACACAGACTCTTGACCAAAGAGGCTCGGCTGTGACATCCCTCCAGGTGAAGGGGGAATTAGGCCTCTCAGTAAATCATGGCACAGGTAGATTATATCACACGTTCCTCCAGGGCTGTGGGGGTGTTAGTGTTGTGTTTCTAGTGGGTGTAATACTAAACATATGAAGATTGATGTGGTATGTTGACCAGCTGGTCTGACAGTTATCAGCTGGTTGATTACCTGCTGTATTAGGTATTAGAGGAACGATACAGTGAAATGAGTAAATATGCATTGGTAAATTCTAAATGATGTATTGCAAGTGAAGGAGATTGACAGCACAGTACAATAGTCTACAGGACTGTACTGTACTGGATCTGATGACGGATGCCAAAGGCTGTATTGTCATCACCTAACTCTCTTGGCTCCATGGCTTTGGTATGTAATTTTCTTACAGGGGAAGGTGTTGTTGGTGTGTAAGCATTTTATCTGATAAAGATGCAGACTTTTAAGTCCTTGTGTAAATGGTAAAAAAGCCAGAGCATAAGATAGGAGGGCTGAAATACACCTGGTAAGCCTCTCCAGCTAAAGGAGGAGTGATAACATCTTACACGAGTTCGCTTAATACCCCCTCGTTACTGCTCTATTCCTGAGCTCCGATAATTACGTAATGACCACTTAAATTTTCACGCACAGTTTTTGATTACTGTTGTTTTTAATACATTTTAGGAAGAATACGATATAGACACAAAACAATCAATTTCTCAGCACTTTCTTCAATAATGATAACAGGCTAAGTATGATGTTAAAATGGGAGACTCCTGCATATGAGATTTCTCATGTTCTTTTTCTGGGATATAAAATTGAAATATGTTTTTCAGGCCAATATTTGTTTTATTCGTTGGGTCACGGATATTACTGAGTCAATGCTGATATTGGCATCAATGTTTTAAGGAATTATTGACTAATGTGTTAACACTCATTCTCCTAGTAAAAGGCTTGAGGATTAAGACATGAGAGAGGCAGGGGATTATGACAGTATATTTACAATTAGATACCCATTAATTACCAACTATTAGATACACATTAATTACCAACTATTAGATATCCAGTAATTACCAACTATTAGATACACATTAATAACCAACTATGAGATACACGATAATTACTTGAAAGGAATGGAAATGATAAATGTGTGCAAAATACAGTGTGTAAATGTTTTTATTTATTATTTTCATTTTTATATATAAAGAAATGGTTGGAGGATCCGTGAGCCAACAAATGAAAAAAATAACGGCTCTGACAATGCAGTGAGGTGTTTCTTCATGACAGTACAATATACATATAGCATACTACTCCACTTTTCATAGGGATTTGTCATTCTGTTTAAATATGCACTGGGCAGGCATATTATGTAGATCAGTTTTGTGTATCATGGAAAGATAAAAAAATATCCCTATCAAAGTGGGGTACCGTAGTACATGAAGAATACCAGCCTTACTTGTTCCAGGGTTAATGAGGAAATGAAACATTGTGATGGAACCTGTTCGCCACATCTTCCTCTTGTTTGTGGCACTGGTGGCCCTGTCGTCTAAGGCGCCGCGATTCGCTGTGCAGAGTTGCGTCCCTTGGGCACGCCAGAAACCTATGATTGTGGGTTCGAATCCCGGTTCGCCCCAATTATGTTTCTAGGTTTGTCAGCCCCATACCTGTGCTCGCGGGTTTCACCGAAGTGGTAAATGTCTTAGACCTGCATCACTTCGGGCTTTCCTCCCACATTAAGCTGACACGCCGTGATATAACTGGAATAATGTTAAAAGCGGCGTTAAACCCAACTCACTCACTCTTGTTTGTATACATATCCCTTGATGTCATTGAAGGAGACAAATAGTGTTGGATTTGATGGCCATTGTCAGCCATTACTGTTGTGGCCAGGGTTATATCCTTGTTGAGGAATGTTTACACACTGACATTTTATCATGGCATATTTGGCAGCAGCTTGAGGTTTTCTATGATCTCCATAATTCACAGCGTAATTATTTGTTCCACAAAGGTTGGGATGTTATGGCCAGAATCTTTCTGTTCCTTGTCTTTAAAAAAAGTATGTGATTTATGTCTGTGTAAAAGCAATGAAACGGTCCAGTCCCAAAGAGGTATTTGTTTTCAGAAGTTAGTTTTTATTGAGGGAAAAGAAAAGAGATTGTGTCTTGTTGTACGTTGTTCCAGAGCAGAACTGGCGTAGTTATGATAGAAACAGGCTGGATGTATGCTGGTGTCATCTGTTGTTTCCAGAGAGGAAATAATTAGACAATACTGACTGATAATGTCTACTATTCCACAGACACGGAATAAATAGACAATGTAGACTAGGTAATAGGGCTTGATGTGTCTTCTGTTGTGCTAGAAACAGGGAATAATGAGACTGTATAGATTAGATAATAGCACCTGATGTTATCTGTTGTGCTAGACTAACATCTTGTCTCTGAAATGAACACTTTTACAGAAGAGTTGTTAAATTATGATTATGGAATATAATCAAAAGGCGCCAAAAGACATTCTTCATTTTCAGATACGGCAGTTATCTAGACTTGCAAAAATATCATAGAATTGCAGGGTTTTTTTAGATATTTTTGTTTCAGGGTCAGATCTGTGTGACTACTGTTGCCCTAGAAACAGAATAAAGAGACGATATTGAGTGACATCATCTTTTGTGCCAGACATTGAGAGTATTTTATCAAATATAGTGGTATCATCTGTTACTGCCCAACCAGGGAATAATATAGATAATATTGTCTGATGTCTTCTGTTATATTGGAAACAATGAAAACAGAGACAATAGAGTGAGTGAGTGAGTTGGGTTTAACACCGCTTTTAACATTATTCCAGTTATATCACAGCATGTCAGGTTATTGTGGGAGGAAAGCCCGAAGTGATGCAGGTCTCAGATGTTTACCACTTCAGTGAAACCCACGAGCACGGGTATGGTGACAAACCTAGAAACATAATTGGGGCGAACCAGGATTCGAACCCACAAACATAGGTTTCTGGCGTGCCCAAAGGACGCAACTCTGCACAGCGAATCGTGGCGCCTTACACAACTGGGCCACCCGTGCCCCCAGAGTCAACAGAAAGTGAAGTCATTCTGCTATGCCAGAACCTCCGTGTGGAGATTTCAGCTTACTTGTCAGTGATGCTCAGACTGTGATTTGGCAGACTGCATCATGCCTTGATGGTGGGGATTGTTTTCAGTCATTGGTTTGCCTGGTCCAGACTCCCTGGTGAGAGAGCCCCATTAAGCTTTCTAGATATCGTGAGATAACATTGTCTTTAGCTGATGATGACCCTAAACTAAGGTGTATAACAATAACACCCCACATTGATGCTTGTCCATAGTATCTAGGACGTCTAAGCTATGAAGGTAATAGGAGAGAGTTTAAATCTGTATTGTGATTACCTGTGTGCCTCAGAGCACCTTTAGAGGAACATCACAAACACCTGTTGATAGGGAGGGTGGTTGTCTATAGTATCATCACTGTAATATCCAGTAATCACATACTGGTAGGTACATATTGGAGATAATGCATGTACACCTATCATATGATTACCTGTGTGCCTAAGTACACCTGTACCGTTAAGATTCATGTTAGAATTGATCTTAAGCAACTCCTAAGGTGATGGGATCCAGTGGTCAGGCTTGCTAACGTGATTGATGCATGTCATCATCATATCCCAATTGCATCAATCAATGCTCACAATGTCAATCGACCTGTGAAGATCCGGGGTAGAATAGATCTTCAGCAACCCATGCTTGCAGTAAAAGGCAACTATGCTTGTCATAAGAGGCGACTAACAGGATCGGGTGGTCAGGTTCGCTGACTTGGTTGAAGCATGTCATCGATCCCATTTGCATGGATCGATGGTCATGATGTCAATCACTGAATTGTCTGATCCAGACTCGATTATTTACAGACTGCCATCATATAGCTGGAATATTGCTGAGTGCGGCGTTAAACAATAAACAAACAAACAATGTCTATCACTGGGTTGTCTGGTCCAGACTCGATTATTTACAGATCTCCGTCATATAGCTGGAATATTGCTGAGTGCAGCATTAAACAATAAACAAACAAACAATGTCAATCACTGGATTGTCTGGTCCAGACTCGATTATTTACAGACCACTGTCATATAGTGGTTAAACAACAAACAAGCAAGCAGTATGTCAGTACTCAATAGTACTCAGTAGTATGTGTAGTGCATCACACAAGCACCTGCTGACATGGAGGGTGGTAGTAGTCCATGGTGTGCACGTGGTTACTGCACTATTCAGTAATGTACGTAGATGTACAGTGGAGGTAATGCTTCTACATTACCTGTGTGCCTCATTACACCTGTGTAGTACAGTGGAGTTACATCCCACAAGCACCTGCTGACATGGAGGGTGGTAGTAGTCCATGGTGTGGTTACTGCACTATTCAGTAATGTACGTAGATGTACAGTGGAAGTAATGCCTCTACATTACCTGTGTGCCTCATTGCACCTGTAGTATGTGTAGTACAGTGGAGGTACATCCCACAAGCACCTGCTGACATGGAGGGTGGTAGTAGTCCATGGTGTGGTTACTGCACTATTCAGTAATGTACGTAGATGTACAGTGGAGGTAATGCCTCTACATTACCTGTGTGCCTCATTACACCTGTAGTGTGTGTAGTACAGTGGAGGTACATCCCACAAGCACCTGCTACCATGGAGGGTGATAGTAGTCCATGGTGTGGTTACTGCACTATTCAGTAATGTACGTAGATGTACAGTAGAGGTAATGCCTCTACATTACCTGTGTGCCTCATTGCACCTGTGTAGTACAGTGGAGGTAAATCCCACAAGCACCTGCTACCAGGGAGGGTGATAGTAGTCCATGGTGTGGTTACTGCACTATTCAGTAATGTACG